TTAATATAACTGTCTTCGATATTTTTCACACGCGCGTGTAAATCAGAAATATATGCTCCGTGATTTAATAGGGAATTTTCATAAAATTCTCCGGTTATATGACTTAGTATATCATTTAAACGATCGAGATCCTCTCGAGTTATACTAATTATAGTACTAGTCTCGGCGTATTTATTAAATAGTTCGGAAACACGGTTCTCGAGATTGAACAAAGGCTTATTATCATTATTATATTCTTGTATTTTATCATTTTCTATCGATTTTAATTTCTCTTCGATATTTGCAATATTACTTTTTAACTCATCTATTTCAACCTTCAGTAATTTCACGTCGTATACAATTGTTTTATTACTCGAATGAATATTGGAAATAATATTCTCCCTACGCCCGTCGATTGAGTTATTGAAAATATCCATTATCCGGTACGTGTTATTCGACTGAATATAAATATACTACTGAAATAGCTTCTCACAATTTAAGGTCGCTAGCTTTTATCCAACTATTATGTGACGCGTCAAACCCCAACCACTTGACAAACACTTCACTGCCCTTCCTACGTATAATTTTCTCGATTAAATATTCATTTCGGTGATTAGTTCTATGTATTTCCTCGGAATAAAAACACCCGGCGATCGGTTTGCCCGTATAATCTCGCAACTGATAAGTAACGGGCGATGTTTTATTTATTTTGATAATTTCAAATATTTCCGTAGACCAGTTTGGTAAATAACCTTTTGTGAACACACCCTTTTGAGTGCTGATACGAACGCTATCGCCTACTTTGAATTTAATTTTTACATTATTTATTTCACGTTGCTTTATTTCCACCGTAAGCGGGTTAAAATCCGCCTGTACCGGTGTCATTCCGATAGTTCTGTGTTTCGAATTATTATACTCCCGAAGCAACGTCGGTAAAATAGATATCCATTCGTGAGAGCCCCGCGCAGTAAACTCTCTAAACATTTTTTCTTTTAGCGTACGATTGAAGCGTTCAACAATACATGCTTTCATGATACTGTATGTAGAGTATTTGTGTATGCCATATTTATCCATCAACTCGTCGAACGTCTTGTTATAAAATTCTTTACCGTTATCCAATTGTAAAAGTTTCGGTGAGCGATCGTGCAGTATTTTAGACATAGCACTAGTGACTTCTTTACCGGATTTACTCCTCAGAGGTAGAGCCCATGCGAATTTAGTAAAACAATCAATTACGCATAAAATATACTTATAACCTTTATTTTTTTTCGAATATGGAATCATTTCGACCAAGTCAGCTTGCCACAAATCATTTTTTCCATATATGTTAACTCTTCGCCTCGTGAAATTTTTCCTCGACGGTTTGTGGAGTTCCGTGGCAATCTCGCGTTTAGACATTTGGAATTCGTTTAATTAGCCCGGCCTCAAGTAATTCCTCAAAAATAGATATTATCTCATTTGAAACACCTGTATTGCCAGCTGATTTCGATGCTAGAAGTAACCGAAGTCTATCGACCAACTCGTTTGGGTTATCCCAATACACTACGTTATTTCTCTGTACTTTCATATACAGTTCGCCACCCGAGGGAAATAATCGACTTATAATATTTTTAAATTTTTTACATGCGGTATTTTTAATTTTCGAACCGCCTGCGGTTAAATGCGCCGATGTGTGAATTAATATCGATTTATACGTCTTTAAATCGTCACCCGTATAAATAAGAGGGTTTTTTCAAAAACAATAGTCGAAGAAGTCCCGAGGTTGCTGGATAAGACGCTCCATTGAAAAGTATTAAATTTCGAGTGAATTTCACTTCTTTATCGCCCAAGGTAATATCACCGTTTGCTAGTTTTTTCGGACCATAAGTCTTATCTATATCCACGGACTGGAACCAGTTTTCAATTTCTTGTTGATAGTAGTCGTCGTCGTCGTCATCAACATCGCCGTTTTCGTTAATTTCAGAATCTATTCCGCCGAGCTTATTTTCCTCCTTGTCCGCCGTACTTTGATTAGTAAACAAATCGCGCGTATTCGATATTTTAGTTAAAGGTTCTATAACGGGCTTGAATGTTTGCGCCATCAACTGTTGAACGTCGGCTTCACCGTTTTTCAATGAGGTATATTTACGTTTTATACTTTCCTTAGCCTTCACCAACTCCTCTAATATATTACTTTCCTCCTTCATGATTACGTTTTAAATGATATTTATTCAATATAAACGCCGTCTTATATAACCACGTGCGTATCAAACCCGAATCGGTAACGGCCGCTATCACGTTCACTATCTTTGCATATGACTACAAACGCAAACCTATCACGATTCCAGCACACGGTACAAAATTGTTTGAATTGATTGTACGTCATATCGCCCGAACAATGTTCATTGTATACATGCTTTAAATTAGTTTCATCTTGTTTGAACAAAACTATTAAATTTGCGTTATCACGTATCAGTTGTTTGGGTACTTTTGAATAACTCTGAGCTAGATAGAATATATCTACTTTATTATGCCTCCCCCTGGAAAAGTATTCCCTTATCACCCCCTGCTGTTCTCCAATAACGTCGTCCATGATAAATATAGAGTTTGGTAATACTTTTTCGGGCGCGATGACTTTATCGTTCTCGAAAAACGTGAAAATGTTAATTCCGTCAATACCATCAATAATACGCTTCAGTAATTTATATTTCGGTTGTTCCAGCGTTTTAGAGTATATGTAAATGTTTTCAAATCGAAGCCCGTTTTCGTCGACGAGTAGAAAATATATCAAATTCGTCTTGCCGCAACCCGAACTCCCCAATACTAGAGAGCGTATCGTGTTTGGAAATAACTCACCATGCCTATACTGTACTGTATCGGGGCTATCGATGTTATATATTCGAAGTTTTTTTTCTTGCTCGATAAATCGCATTTTACAAAGCAAACGTTACGCTATAAATACAGATGTGCTGCCTATGATAGCGTCACACGATGTCTCGCATTCGTAAACGAAACACCAATAAGGGTTCAGGCCTTGTTAACTCAGTAATAAACCATTTACCGGTGGAATTACATTTACCCGGTTATAGGTAAGTCGGTACATTACGTTATTAAATCCTAACTAAATTTTGGGTTTGCATTTAGATTCGCCGGTCCTGGTACGAAATTAAAAGAAAGGCTTGCGCGTGGTGATCGAGGCGTAAACAGTCTAGACGAGTTGGCTAGAGCTCATGATATCGCGTATGATAAAAGTAATTCACTAGCTGATCGACACAAAGCTGACGAAATATTGGAAAATCAAGCTTGGGAAGTGTTTAAATCCAAAAACACTGGAATTAAGGAAAAAGCCGCGTCTTGGCTAGTTACTACAGCTATGAAAGTCAAGCGCAAGATGGGGGCCGGCTGTGGATTTAAACAAATGGTTGCGGCTGCTAAAAACGCGATCAAAAATAAAACGACAGAAAAGAATATAACTAAATTAATTAGAACGTGCTTGACGGCAGCTAAAAAATCGAAAACTAAGAAAACTAAAACTCCTAGAATCATACCAATCCCTAAAAAGGGAGGTGTTTTACCTTTAATACCTATTTTTGCCGGTTTATCTGCATTAGGTGCGCTAACTGGCGGTATCGGCAGTATAGTAAAAGTAGTGAATGATTTAAAATCTGATAAAAAAAACCCCTATTCATTTAGGAAAGGGTTTATACCTCGCACCATACAAGGGAGGTTCTTATAAAATCGTAAAAGGAAAAGGCTTATACCTCTCACCTTACAAAGGTGGTTCGGTGAATCGGAAATCTAGAAAACCGACAAAAAACTAATTGCTACGCTACCCGATAGAGCATTGTTTGATTATGAGATTATAAAATACGTTTACATGTTGAAAATACCTCATTTCATCGGAGTATTTTCCAGAGACAAGTTGCCTTTACATTATAAACATAGAGAGTCAGCCATAGTTAATTTAGATATCGAGAAGGGGGGAGGAACTCATTGGGTAGCGTATAAAAAAATCGGTAAACAAGTTAAATACTACGATAGCTTTGGAAATTTACCCCCACCACTAGAATTACAGAAATATTTTAGAGATTGTAATATCGAATATAATTACGACAGACATCAGAAATACAATACAACTAACTGTGGCCATTTGTGTCTAAGATTTTTATCATGTACACCATAACATTGAGCGGCAACTCGAGCGAATTGTCTTGCGACTTTTTCCCACCGATTGAAGTCAGTAAAAACGCTAAGATTTGCCTGTTAGCTTTTCAAACAAACAATTCTATACCCAATATAAACAACGGGTGTGATCAAATAGGATTTATAAATAAGAATGATATGGGTCATCAAGTTTACTCATTACCCACAGGCTCTTATGAGTTGAGTGAAATCGAGGCGGTGATAAAGCATATACTAACTGATTCCAAGATATCCTTCGAGTTGAGGGGGAATAACAATACGTTAAAATGTGAAATGCAATGTAACGTATCTATAGATTTATCAATGCCCAATAGTATAGGCGAGCTGTTAGGCTTTGAAAAACGTATATATGACGCTAATGTTAAACATCAATCGGGCAAGTTGGTAAATATTACAAAAACAAACTGTATATATATCGAATCAAACCTGGTTGCGGGCTCATTCAAGAACGGAAAGCAGAGTCATACAATACATGAATTTTATCCGAATGTTCCTCCGGGCTATAAAGTAATAGAGAATCCAACACATTTGGTTTTTTATTCAATCAATTGTTCATCTATCACGCATGCAGAGATAACTTTAAAAAATCAGGACAACGAGTTAATCGATCTACGTGGAGAACCAGTATCAATACGATTATTAATCAAGGACTTATGATAAAATGGGTTTACAGTTTTATAATATAAATACTCGAGTATACGAAAAACCTGCTAGTCGAGTCGACGACATTATCAAGGCAATAAGTCTAAAGAAGAAGAAGAAACGAAATTTTAAATACTCTAAAGGTGACCTAACAGCTGAAAATTTAGCATTTCTACAATCACTAAACGCTGTTTAATATGGATGATATGTATTTAGATGTATCGGCTGGGTATGTTGACGATTGTAGGATAACTCAAATTGATTATCATTCTTTTCTACCTTATTCAACATCTGCCCTCTCTAATAATGACGAAGTACGTATTGCCTTGCATAACACAGAGTCGTATACTCTACCATGTGAAAGTTATATCTATATCGAGGGGACAATAACCAAACCTGCTGAAATAACAGATGACATTCGATTTATAAACAATGGACTAGCATTTCTTTTTTCCGAAATGAAATATGAACTGAACGGGATTCAAATTCAAAAACTCGCTAACCCAGGTATAACTACAACATTGAAAGGATACTGTTCGTATAATAAATCGGACATAGTGTCACGCTATAACGCTGCCTGGGACGATGATATTAAAAATTTTAATAAAGATTTTATTGAGAGCGGTATGTTCAACGGGTGTATTAATCTTAAGGATTTGTTTGGTTTTTGCGAGGACTATAAACGTATTTTAATAAACTGCAATCAACAATTGATATTAAATAGAGCTTCAATAGATATAAATGCGGTTAAGCAATATAAAAATAATGACGTTGTCCTAGACGCACCTAAACTAAAAGACGTTAAGATAAATATCACGAAAATATTGTGGAGAATGCCCATAGTCAAGGTCAGCGACAGAGAAAAAATACAGCTGTTGAAAGTAGTAAACCGACAGAAAGCTTTAAAATGTGCGTTTAGATCGTGGGAGTTGTGCGAATACCCATTTCTCCCTCAAAACACATCGCACTCGTGGAAAGTAAAAACATCCAATAAATTGGAAAAACCACGATATGCTATAATCGGATTTCAGACTGATAGGAAAAACAGTATGAGCAAAGCAATGTCATATTTCGATCATTGTAAAATCAAAAACTTGAAGGTTTATTTGAATTCCGAGGTATTCCCTTACGAAGATTTCCAAAGTGACTTTACTAAGAACAAGATGGCTACATTATACCGCGCATATGCCGAGTTCCAGAAATCCTACTACGGCCGTGAAAATGTTACACCTCTATTGACTCGATCGGATTTCAAAAAACTATCACCGATTATAGTTGTGGATATGAGCAGACAGAACGATAATGTAAAAACTTCGACTGTTGATCTCAGGATTGAGATCGATACCGAAGAAGCGTTTCCAGCCTCCACCTCAGCATATTGCTTAATATTACATGACCAGATTATAACTTATAATCCATTTAATGGTGAAGTAAGAACAATGTAAATATTTATTGTAAAACTTAATATTATAAATAAAAAATACTTTTTATATAAATATCATGTCTTTTTATTTCACATAAATTATTAATCATATAATTAATTATTAAAAAGTTTGTTATTTTCCACCTTCATCATAATGGTCTTGGAAACATTGCATACGTTGCTTGGTTTCCATCAGATACGGTTTGTATGTTGAAAAAAATCGGGGCCATCATTTTCGTCGAATGACAGCATACCGTCAAATGAATAGTACGGCTGGAAAAAATATATATTTTCACATATAACTTATGTATCTATAATAATTTTATAAATTACCTTTGCACTATTTACTTTTTCATTATGAATGTCAAATGTGTCGCCCTTCGTGATGCTTGAGGGTAAATAGGTTGGCGAGGTCGGTGAAATGATTGTTAAATTATCATCAAACGGCTAGAATAGATAAATTATTAAATCTTTATGTACATAGAATAAATAAATTTGGTTATACCTTTGGAGACATTTCTCCATTCCATTGTTGCATGCAGTGTTCAGTTAATTGCGCTAATGCATTCATTTTGAGCTGACTAATGAAATTGACATCATGTTTAGGACTGCTTGCAATAATATGATCGTCACGTACATTTTTAATAAACGTAGTCATTTCTTCACTCGTTCTCGGCAATGATTCCGCTTTGGAAAGTTCACCATTAATATAATTCGTAAATATATTGAATTGTTTTAAGACGATTGGATGCATTATAGTTGATTTTCGTACGATTGTTTCGAAAATGCACCATTCTAGGTAGTGAAGTCGTATGAGCTCCATACGATTTAAAAGAATTCGACATCCGTCGTGTATCTTGGACTCTATTACTAAGGAGTTTTCACCGCTATACATCATGCTAAATAACTTGAAATTCTCTGTCTCGAGAAAAATGGTTCTTTTATACTTCGCCGGCTGCTCCAAAATAAATGATAGGATATTACCCATCAGTGAAAATATTCTTTTTAGAAACTCAGTTGAAATTTTAACATAACGTGATGGTGTTATTATATGCACCGCCACTCTGAACATATCAGTCGGATCGATCCCAATATGTATAAACTTACGTTTCACGAAGTTCAACGTATAGTTAGTAGAATCGATAAGCTCCGAAGGCGGTGTTGGCGGGACATATGTAAAGGTTTTCTTGTATATAGCTGCATTATCCGTGATTGAACCGGCCATATTTAGAAACACTTGTAAATTTATTTTTGAAACGTGAAAAAATGATTTTAAGTACCTATAGAGAACAATGACTCGTTGCTAGAGTGAATGTATTACTACTGAAGATATTACACACACCACTCTACTTTATTTATACCCTAAAATATTGCGATGATAGAGGGTTAATAGTTTTGTTTACATCGTATTGAGTATATTGAATTCGAAAACTTAACAGGGGGGGGGGGCATGTACTGGATAGGAATGGATGGGAGGGGGCATGGCCGTTCATAGCATGGAGGGGAGGGGTAAGGCCGGGAACGGCATGGAGGGGCATGGCAGCGATAGGCATGGCGAGACATGGCACGCGCACGATAGGGAGGGCGGGGTACCTGGATCTCCTGGATTTGCGGGGGATACAGAACCGACTAAAACATACTACTAGTATTTTATATTATCTCAATATTTCATAACGATGTACCTTCCTATAAAAATATTGCGATCACTGAATGATACGCAATTACGTAATCTTCTGACCGATAGGCAACAGCCGATCGTCACGTCGGTGACATTTATTTTCGAAATGTCCATTTCATATTAAAAATTATTAAAGATACGTAACATCTATTGCGGTTTAAGGACTAGCTGTTCTGCTGTCCTGTGTGTCAATTTTTTTCTTCTGTCGAAATCTGAACGATTAATTAATAATTATTGCTAATGAAAAAAAAAATTCTGTATACATTTGCGATCAGATAATAATCAATGAAAACTGCGTGGGCAAGCTAAAAGACCACACTTAACCCGCTGTAATAAATGGCTCTTTATAGTACAATGTGTTTGTTCCGTTTTTCGTTTCAGTGAAAAATATTTGTTACTGGACGAAGGGTCTAGCGCCAAAGCCAAGGAGTCCGGGTTATCGATAGTTCAACGAGAGATGGCTCGTCAGTGGTTTGGAAACCTAGTCACGTGCTCCTGGTGGGACTATCTTTGGTTGCACGATGCGTTTGCAGCGTACTTTCAGTACTTTTCCACGGACTTGGTACGGTCACCATTGATTAATTGAATTTGTACTTTACATCTAGCGCATCCAAAAATAAAAAAAATCGGTTAAAAAAACTTTTTTTTTAAATCAGAGCTTGCACCTGCAGAAATGAATTAAAAATTTCAAGAATTAGTTTGGGTTCTCTAAATGAAATTGGGTATTATAAAAATAAAAACTAGTTAAAATTTAAAAAATATATATATATATATTTATATTAAAATATATATACAAATAATAATTATAATCTTCTTACAAATTTATTAAAACTTATAAGAAATATTAACATATATTAAGTTCCTATTTTTATTAAAACAACAGTTAATAATACAATTTTTAAAATTTTTAATTTCTTCTTAAAATATCTTGATTTAAAAGATAGTTTACATTGAAAACCATAATTTTTATTTTAGTATTGGTTTTTTGATATCAATTATTAATAAAAGCTGGGTTTTGACGATGTTTTAAAATACCCGGTTTAATACGGTTCCTTGTGTCGTCATATCTCAGGTTCCTTAATGGTATCAAGTATCAAATTATTTTAGCTAAAAAGTCCTAGTTTGAAAATTAAAGTTTTTCAGACACTATCATACTATTGATTACCTGTTTATCTTATTATTAATTACCTATGCTAAATTAAATTAACATTAAATATTATCTTCTCAGGGTTTGAAATTTATAGTTATTGCACATCCCTTTTAGATGTAGTAAAACATGGTACATCAATTAAATACACGTTTTGAAATAAAGAAAATCCATATTTAAAATTTAATTAAGTGTATTTTTGCATGTCTTAAGAATTTTGCTACATTATAAACAATATTCGAGTATATATATTTTAAAACTGACCTGGATTCTTTTCACTGATCAACGGTCAGAAATAAATAGTTTAAACTTAAACTGTTTGATTAAACATTTAAGATGCTTAAAAATGTCTAAGTAAAGGTTAGGTTAAGTTAAGTAATCTAAAACTATAAGCTTTGAGGGTGGTTTAAGATTTAGTTTGTGCTTTAAAGAGGTAAAAATTCAAAATTCCCATTTAGTATAATTTTTTTAATCGGAAAATCAAATAATAAGTTAAGGAATAACGGAAATTTTCACGCAAAAACCAATATTAATATTATTATAAAAATAATTGTTTTGTAACCATAGTTACTTTAAAAATTGTTCATACATTAGAAATTATTATTATTTTATATAAATCAATTAACTTTTAGATGTTATATACCTATCTACCTTTTTTTGACGTTTATAGCTCTATCAAAAAAAAAAAAAAAAAATTGATATCTTATAATATAAATCATGAAATTATATGTTATTCAGTGATAAAAGTTGACTGATTATTCAGCTTAGAATCGTTTTCGTATACAATTTAACACAGCCATAAAAATGACCCGCTCGATATCTAATGTACCTACAGGAGAGAAGTACCTACCTACTTGTTACTTACTTGTTCACCTTTTTTTAAAAAAAAAAAAACTTTCTTTTATTAGTATTAAATAAATGATTGAATATTTTTTTTATATATTATTTTGTTATCAGTTGATAGAGAATAAAAAATCTTCAAGTATCATATTTTAATAATGTCACTCTGTATAAATTATATAAATTGTGATTTATTATTTATATTAATATGCTAATTGTTCGAAAATTTTAAAAACGATTGTATGTTTTTATCTTTTAAGCACAAATAATTACTTTTTGTGGGTCATATTTTAGCTTTTTTAATTCTATAAATTCCAAATCTTTAAATTATTATATTATTATTGTTATAGTTATTACAAGATAAATAATGATAATCCTGAGCTTTATGCCAATATATTTAGGTTTACCCAGATTGGAGGATGAATCAAATGTTTGTGGTCGAACGGCACCAGCAAGCTTTGGAGTACGATCAAACGCCCAGGCGTCCGATAACCACGTCCATGCAGACTCCAGAGGACATCAACAATGCATTTTACGACCAGACTTACAGCAAGGCCGCGGCCTTTTTGCGGATGTTGAAATACACTACCAACGATACTATATTCCAACAGTCGTTGGTCAGATATTTGAAACAGAACAAGTATGTCCTTCTGTCGTTTATATATTTACTATTAATTATAAATGACAACATATTCGTTTTTTCTGAAACTAATAGAATCTTATCATTTTTTTTCCAAATAAACCACATTAAGATGATGATAATATGGCACTTTTTCGGTCAGTGTGGTTGTTGACAGGAAACCTAATCTAACCTAACCTAACACCTGGAGTGACTTGATAAACAATATAATATAATATTATGATTTTTTTGATAATGTTACTTTTTTGTAATTAAATCGAATGATTTAATCGAATAATTTACTAGCCAAAAAGATTATTGTTACCTTGTTATATTTATTCTCAAAAATGATTAATGTTCCATAAATCGACCAGTTGTATTTTTCGGAAACATTTTAATGACCATAATTTTTTTGTTGACATAAATGTAGATACGTGTCGGTAGATCCTGATGTGTTGTTTGAGGCATTCGAGTACACTATTTCCAAATATCAATTTAATTTCGGAGAAGATGTCACGGTCACTAATTTCATGAAACATTGGACAGAACAGGCTGGATACCCAATGATCAATGTAGTAAAGGTCAATGACGAGTTTATCATAACTCAAGTATGTATATAGTAATGTGGAGTTAAACATTGACGATTAGCGGCATTAAAATCTTTGTAGGAAAGGTGTCTAATGGACACTCCCGACAAGATAACTGATTCGTCTAGATGGTACATAGGGATCACATATACGACAGAATCGAGTAAAAATTTCGAAAACTTTAACTTGGCCACATGGTGTAAACCGAACATGGACAAATGCGTCTTGTCGGATCCACAAAACGATGGGTGGTTTATATTCAATGTACAATCTACTGGTAATTTAATTTCCACAGTTTGAAAATTGTTTCTTAAATTTAATTTATCAAATAATCAATAAATATATAGGATTTTACAGGGTTAACTACGATACTGAAAATTGGTCGTCATTGGTCAGACAATTGAAAGAAAGGCCATATGAAATTCATGTACTCAATCGTGCTCAACTGATCGATGATTCATTCTACTTAGCAAGAGCTGATAAATTACATTATTCAGTTCCATTGCAAATATCATCGTATTTAAAAATAGAAGATGACGTATTACCTTGGTATTCCGCGATAAATGGATATTCATATCTATTAGAACGCATGCGGCGTAATAATACAGAATATACAGATTTAAGAGTGCGTATAAAAACACTTTTAAATTATTATTTTTACTTACATTTTCATGAATACATATGATGCAAAATGAAAAAAAAATTTATAGAATATAGAATTAAGTTTATGTTAACATACAAACATTTAATTTTACCAAATGTATTAAAACAAAATAGGAATAACTTTATCACTTTACATTTGAAAAATAAAAAATTCTCATCATTTCTCTCTAATCAACTGCATGTATACCTACGTGTCGATTATGGTTAATGAATAAAGTAAGTATATATTAGATACACCAATAATTAATCTCAAAACAGAGGGAAAAATTATTAATGTTAAATAAATTGATAATAATACAAATATTATACAACATAAAATTAATGATAGAAATGTATATAAAATGGTACAGTCGAACTTGGTTATCTCGAACTTCTTTAACTCGAAATCGTCGATACCTCGAACTTTATCTCCGGTCTCTAGAATTTCCTATTTAAACAATGTGAAAAAAATCTTGTTTAACACGAATATTTTCGTTGATAACACGAAGTTTTAAGTTTTATGAATATTATAAAATTGTGATATTTCCCTCATGAGGTACTTATGTGTATATTTAAATATCGAAAGTGAGGTTATTACTCATTAATGTTATCGTTACCGATAAGTGGTTAAGAATGATTCACTACAAACGCTGCGATCAACAGTAAAACTCAAACAAAAATAAATAGCTTTTTAAAATAATTTTCTATCTTATTTTTATTTATACATACATACCTTTTTAAAATTATATATGCATAATTCATACATAAATATATAGAAAATATTTTTAATTACATTACTTTATTTATAATAAATATAAAAGAAATTAATACATTTTGTACTGTTTTAAAATTTTTTAATTTGGATGACTCAAACTTTTTTTCAGTCCCTTCAACCTCAAGTTAATCGAGTTTGACTGTATTTTAAACAAAAATAAATGTTGTGCTAAGTTATGATTATATTTAACTTAAAATGATATATTACGTATTTTATTTTCATTATAGGTATGTGTAAGTAACTTGGCTGGTATCATTTATAAAAAAATCGAAGATCAAGTGGTCGAGAAAAAAAACAATGACCACATTATTCTTACCAGCTGGAATGCATTCTCAGTATGGGCATGTCAGTTAAATAATGAAGTGTGCATACGATCAGCGTTTGATTACTATACAAAATGGCAAAATGGAGAAAAGTAATTACAACAACTTCAATAGTAATATGCGGAAATAGAATCACATAAAATAAATCTATACCAAAGATTTAAACACTTATGAGAATATGTTATGATGATTTATCGATAAAATTTAAATTTTGATAAGGATACAATAAATTAAAATAAATACCTGCGTATTTGTATAGAATACCCACAGATATAAGAGACGCTGCATTCTGTGTTGGTGTTCATATAACAAATGACATTTCAACATGGGAACAAATGTTTGAGCTGTATAAAACCACAAGATCACCCTCCGAAAAACAGTCAGCACAAACAGCAATGGCATGCACAGAAGACGAAAGTCTTTTGTCGAGGTAAACAAAAAAAAGATCAAAAAAAAAAAATTATGAAACAAATATATTATAATTAAAATTTTAGACTATTTCCTATGTTCCTTCCAAAAATATATATAAAAAAAAAAAAATTAACTGCAAATAATTTATATTATAGGTATTTAAATTATACATTTGAAACAGAAGATGGTCCAATTCGAAACCAAGATTATAAAGATGTATTTACAGCGGTATCTTCCACACCTATAGGACTAAATGTATTAATTGACTTTTTGGTAAACAATTTAAATGAAATTACGAAAAAAATAACTGACGGTGAAAAAATAGCAAAATTTATTTACTCAATTTGTGCATCCAAAGCAGCTCTGGATCCTGAAATCAATAAAGTAAGGAATAAAAAAATTAATTTGGTACAAATTTAAATCAAAAACAAAATAAATAAAATAAAAAAACAACATGAGAACAAAAAGAAAAAAAAATTATAAAAGAGCAAAAAACCATATCAAAAAAATTTAAAAAATTAATTTTTTAAATATAGATAAAACAATTAAAAGATGATCCAAAGACGCCAGAAAACCTCAGAAAGGCATTCAACAAAAGCTACAATCAAGTCAATAATAATTTATATTGGTTCAATAAATATCACGAAATAGTGAACCAAAACACAGGTTGCTCAAAAGAATTTACAACAACTGATCAACCAACAGAAACATCGACACCGAAAAAACAATCAACAGAACCCACTCAACTCGATACAACATTATCAGGCGGTACAGATTCAACAACATCATCGGGAGAAACTACTGTAACACAATATCCTTCTACAAAAACAGAGCAATCAACAGTATCCACTCAATATGATACAACACTATCAGGCAGTACTGATTCAACACCAATTTATACTCAAACATCATCGGGAGAAACTACTGTATCACAATATTCTTCTTCCACAGCAGAGCAATCAACAATTTCAACTCAATATGATACAACACTATCTGGCGGTACTGATTCAACGACACCGATTTATACTCAAACATCATCGGGAGAAACTACTGTATCACAATATCCTTCTACAAAAACAGAGCAATCAACAATATCAACTCAATATGATACAACATTACGCCAGTGGTACTGATTCAACAATTCCATTTTATGCTAAAATATCATCGGGAAAACTACTGTATCAATCCTTCTACAACACACAGAGCAATCATTCAACCTCACGATATTCAACACTTATCAGAGGTACTGATTCAAAGGCCCAATTATACTCAAACATCCGGAGAAACTGTACTGTATCACAATATCTTCTTCCAACAGCACAACAGCATTTCCAACTCAATATATACAACACTGTCTGGTGTACTGATTACAACCATTATAACAACATCAGTCGGGAGAACTACTGTATCACAACAATTCTTCTCCACAGTCAGAGCAACCAATGCATTATCAACTCACAGTGATACAACACTATCTAGGCGAGTGACTGATTCAACAACCATTTATCTCAAACATCATCCGGGGCCGTACTCACAAGTTCTTTCCTACAACAGAGCACTCAACAATTCACCATAGATACAACACTATCACGGCGTACTGGATTCACACCAATTATACTAAACATCATCGGAGACTACTGCACACAATATCTGTTCTCACTCTATCAAGCAGGCAATCAACATCAACTCACATAGTACAACATTATTGGCGCAGATCACGCAATTTAACTACCAAACTATCATCGGAGAAACTGCACGTCACAATATCTTCTTCACACGGAGCAATTGTCATATCAATTCAACATCCATATTATGATCAACTATCAGGCAGCTACTGATTACCTATACCCCGATTTATACTAAACACTCATCGGGAGAAACTACTGTCCCCATTGATTCTTCTCCAACAATGAATCCACAATTTCAATGCACATATGAGCAAAACACTATCTGGCGTTGCGATTCAGCACTACGATTTATACTCAAACATCATCGGGAGAAAACTTACTGTGTATCAGCATTCTTCCACAGTAGAGCAATCAACAATTTCAATCTCATTAGTAACAAACTATCTGGCGGTACTAATTCAACGACACCAGTTGTCTCTCAAACATCAGTGGAGAAATCACTGTATCACAATTATCCTACCTACACAGAGCAACCAAATCAACGTCAATTATAGATACAACAACAATATCAAATGGTAACGACCTGATGCAAAATTTAACTATCATCGGGAGAAACTATGTAATAACTGTATCCTTCTCCACACGGCAGTAGCAATCAACATTATCAACCAATGATACTTGTATATCGGCAGTACGATTCAGTACGGCACTCCGATTATGAGCCAAATAACATCAATCGGGAAACTTCTGTATCACAATATCCTTCTGACAATCAACAAAAGCAATCGAATCAACTCAATATGATACAACACTATCAGGCAGGTAACGATTCAACACCGGCATTTATACTCAAACATCATCGGAAAAACTACTGTATCACAAGTCATCCTTCTCACAAACAGAAAGCAATCAACAATTTCAACTCAATATGATAAGAATCACTATCAGGTAGTACTGATTCAACGCACCAATTATACTACTCAAACATTATCGGGAGAAATACTGTATGCAATATTCTTCTTCCCACGCAGAGCAATCAACAATTTCAACCTTGGCAGATACAATTACTGGACTAACAACACAATGAAAATCACGTGGGGAACTATTGTAATTCTATGGCTATCTAACATTGATCAATACTCCGAATATCACACATTATATACTCAAACATCATGGAGAAACTGCGTAAATCACAATATCTCTTCTATCAAACACAGAGCAATCAACAATTCAACTCAAGTGAGCAACAACATTATCAGGGCGTACTGATACAACACCAATTTATACTTCAAACACATATCGGGAGAAACTACTGTAACACAATATCTTTCTCCATCATAGAGCAATCAATATTCAACTCAATATGATACAAAATTATCGGGCGTCAGATCAACTCCAATTTATACTCAAATTCATCATCGGAGACTACTGTATCACAATACTTTTCTACAAAACAGAGCAATCAAAGTACTACATCAATATGGTATACAACACTGCTGGCGCTACTGATAGTAACACCACTCGGTTATCTAAACATCATCGGGATAGAAATCTCTGTATCAATTTCCTTCACACGTTAGCAGATAACCATCACTCAACTGAATGTGATACAACATCATTCTATGGTACTATTACACGATTTAGTCAACATTATCCGGAGAAACTGCTGTATCACAATATCCTTCTTCCGTTGCTAGGCAATCGTCAACATTTCAACTCAATATGATACAACAATATCTGGTGGTACTGATTCAGCACCAGTTTATGCAGCAATGCGTAACT